TCGCGCGCGCGCGTGTGTGTGCGTGCGTGTGAGTGTGCTCGCGCGCGCGCGTGTGTGTGTGTGTGTGTGGGTGGGTGTAGCCGCGTACCTGTCATTGTGAACGAGCCAACAAACAGTCCAATGTTTCGACCTGCTAGCAACTGCGCATCGGATTCTGATGTGCCTCCGGTGGTAGCCTTCTTCGTCTTGCGACCTGCCCAGAGACCTACAGCTAGGATGAGCAGGTAGAAGACGATGACGGAGATGATGCCGCTAATATTAACCGCCATTGCTCCTAGCAGAGTGATCTGGAAAAAAGTCAACGCAAGAAGTTGTCGTTAGAGAGACTTTATAGCCGGCGAGGGTCCGTCAGGCTGGTCACCGTCAATGCTCAGTTTATGCTCCAATAGCGTTTAACAGAACTGGACGCCCGTCTGCATCGCACTAGACGTGACGCTGCAACCAGCAACGGAACAGGAACCTCGCTGGCTAAAAGTTCTCTCTCTCTCTCTCTCTCTATAATGCCACGTCATTGGGCGACGCGGCATCACCGACAGGCGGCAGCACGTAGTAGCACAGAATACTTTTGGTATCTTCTGCGTATGGTTCTCACATCTATTAACCGGCCTCCCAGCCACAAGAAGGTACTTGAGCCATTTTAATAATAAAATGATAGTAAATAAACACAAATTGTATTTACTACCAAAGTCTTAATGTTTATCAACTCTCTATCGCCTATTATTAGTAATAATCCCCTGTAAATTTCTTTCAAATGCTGCTCTACAACACGCTATCTTACCGCACGTACGCCACTGCACATATCCTCACAAGGGGGTTGTTTCTGTGAGTCTATACACAAGAAGATGATTTTGTATATGCCATAGAAAATAAATAAGGAATAATAATATATAGGCATCAGTATTAAATGTAATTTGTTTATTTACAATCATTTTATTAATGAAACAAGACAAGTTCTTGTGCTCACAGATAGGCTAATAGAAAGAGATAAACTCAAGCAATATGAAAGGCAAATAAAGTGTTATTCCTCAGCCTACTGATGACTGTATCACAATTATCTACACTACAATGACATATTGTAATATCTATTTAAATTAACAATCTTATCGAAGGGCTACTAACATGGGCTGAGCTATACATAACAATTCACAAACATAAATACAATATCAATACGGTGAGCAGTGAAAAATTATACTCATATAGGATGAACTGGATACTGAACAAACCAAAGAATATCTCGTGGTATGTTGCATGTATCAAAGACGATCTATTTGACATGTTTGAAGCTGGCTGCATATTTATTACATACATTCTGTTTTACAAAGATTTAATATGCCACTCTGAGTAGAAACACTTACCCATTCTTTAAAAAATTCCGTTATGGCGAATTTTGGTTTCGTGTCGCGAGCAGTCATAATTTACAAATTACGTATCGTAATCTTGTAGATAATGGTAACTTCAGAGTCCATAGGACTATAACAAAGACAAAGTTTGACGTCAATCAGATCGGTATATCGACCCTGCGTATAGCAGCAGAGGTTTTAGAATAGCAGTTCACTAAAAATGATGGGAGCAAGATCCAGTTATGAATTACTGAAACAAAGAAACTAAATTTGAATTGGTTCTTTGAGGATGAGACATAGCAGAAGCAGTGGTCATATACAGGTGACCGAGTACACCGAGATAATATTATGAAGCAAGACAGAATACAAACATTACCGTGGTCAAGATAAATCGTGTAAAAGCTTACGAGTTTAGTATACAGAACGCGAGCACGAAGGTACTATTACTCTTAAACACACAGCAACATTCCCAACAGAAGACAACCGACATTAGCATTTCTGCGTCAGACACAAGGAAATTGTGCAATTGCCGGCAGTGTTCTCCAAGGCTTTAGCAAACGTACCTTCTGTTTGTATCCCTACAATACAAAAACGGACTTATGAAAACATAGTGATACAATGTAATATCGAGAACATGCCTCTCTGAGCAAATCCCAATGACACATAATCACATGCTCAACAAGGAAGACTTTTCAGGCCTAATGCACACATAAGCTTTGCAATTTTTACTATGGATGTAAGATTTTTTGGCAGTCGTTTTATGCATCTGAATTGTGTCACGTAGTGTATGAGTTCATTTCAAAATGTTTGACAAATTATCAAATCATTTGTGCTTATTACGAGGCTGTATACCGTGCTAATTACGTAGCAGCAGAAATTTAGGAGAGTTTAAGTTGACGGTATAATATTACACGTCATGATTTTAATTTAAGATCCTATGCAGTCGCACCGACTGAGGCACAATTAGATCTTATGTGTAAGTTCAGCAAAATGCAGCTGTAGCTAACAATAACAGTAACATTCATCAGCTAGTTGGCTGTTCGTTTGAATTTGTATTTTTGAATAGGGCTGTGTAGATATTACTCGGCCATTAATTGTCTGCTCAGGTTGCTATAGTAGGCGTGTTCACACACAAGAAAAACCGCGATGCTAATCGCGATGGAAATACCGAGATAATTGTGTCGTTGTTCACACAGGCGGAAATATCTCGCTAATCGCCGAGCAGAATAATTCTATTAATCGAACTGCGCATGCTCACTGTCGGATGTTGATACGATCGCTTGGAATAATGGGATAGAAAATACCGAGATTATTTGCGCGAGCGTTCACACACACGCCGCGGTGCAATTAATCGCGCTAATTCCAAATAATCGCAGTCAAAAGTGCGATTTGCAGCGCGATGCTGATCGCGATACTTAGTGAGATTTTTGCGTTCACACTTGTAAAAATCTCGGTATTTCGATCGCGATGCAAAAACCGAGATTTGCATCCCGCTAATTCCCGCCAGTGTGAACGCGCCTATTGACGTTATCTCTCAGGTTAATTGCTTGTGCCAGTGACCGATGCATGGAAATCATGAGTAACGCCTCTTACAAACACGCCGCATCGGCAGGTGCACGAGGGAGTCCATATATCTGTATACGCCCTAGAAGGGGTTTGTCTATATTCAGGCCGGTACGGGAGATTACGGTACGCATATATTTGCTAATATATTGACTAATCGCGCGTCAATAAACTCAATATTCACAGAGAGTATAGCTAAGACATGTGTCTATAGGTATCTAGAATATATTATGCAAATGATCTCCCGTACCGGCTTGAATTCATATACTCTCTGTGAATATTGAGTTTATTGACGCACGATTAGTCAATATAGCAAATATATGCGCGCGGAAGTGAATTACAGATGATTAAATTTCTAAAATTCTAGATACCTATAGACACATGTCTTAGCTATACTCTCTGTGAATATTGAGTTTATTGACGCACGATTAGTCAATATATTAGCAAATATATGCGTACCGTAATCTCCCGTACCGGCCTGAATATAGACACTCCCCCCTAGAAGTGACCAAGCAACCAGCACCGGAACCGGAACCGCAACCTCGCTGGCTAAAAGTTATCTCTTTAACGCCACGCCAACGCACTACGCAAAATAACTTTAATTAACGCAAAATTTAAAAAAAAAAGTTACGCAAGATAACTTTGTAACAAAACCCTGTGACACTTGTTAATTAAAACCATTTATAAAAAAATTGACAAAAATAATATCACTAAATGACTTAATAACAATGTGATTATCATTGTCACACTTCCATGGCAATTAATACCACTGCACTTCGGAACCAATATGCCATTATTATATTAGTAGATATAGCCAGTCGACCGTAAACGCTCGACCGTAAAAGTCTACCGTGCGCGTTGCCACATCGTTGAACCGTAAATAAAAATGTTAGTAATTCATAGAGAAGCTCAACTCAACAGCTAGTGCGTGGCAGAATATCAGTGCGTACGATGCATCAAGAATATAGCACCCAGTCCAGAATTATAGGGTTCGAAAATGAATAGATGCATGCCCGGGAGATATGCACAATGCGATTTCAGGACTAATTGTCAGGATACATCCCGAGCGAAAAAGACATATTCAACCAATTAAACTGCTATAGTAGACATAGATATTGGACGAGGAAACACGAGGAATTAAAGGCCATCCATTGGAAAACAAAACGGATAGGACATATACAGAAAGAGGTTTGTATGCAAACACTATCGGTTAGTGCAGATCACTCGAACTATTCTTCCTGCAGTGCGCAAACAAAACGTACACATTTTGTCGCTTGTTGCTTGATTCTAATAAACACAGCTCATTCCAGCGACCCGCAACTCTGTTCCTCCGCGTTCGTTCATTGACCCCGTTCCAGTATTACGATCACATTATAAAGTCAGAGAGTCCACACGTGATACTGATAGGCACATGTTACAAGCGATGTAAATGATAGACTACATACGACTCGCCCCCCACGTTCTCAACACGTGCATCAAAAAGGAATACGAGTCGTCATCAGTACGCCATTTAATTAGTTTACTGCGAGCTGCCTCTATTCGCTTTTCAAGTATAATTCCTTTATATCCAATTAACTACTACAATAGTCTACACAGCTTCCAAATAGTATGTATATATATATATATATATTAGAAGTAAAAAGGCACGGACACCCATGCAGATGTAGAAAAATATGCTAAAACTGTATTTAATACAGACTTTTTTACAAAGATTGTATTTGCTGCACAAGCTTAATTAACACATTTCTCTTATCACGTAAAGGATAATTAATTTACTCGAGTTATCCGCGCGAACTCTCTGTGAACTCTAAATGACCGCTCAGTGTCTAATCAAATATATTTTACTTACCAGATGAATTGAAAGAGTGGGGAAACCACGAGTCTCGCATGTTTATCGCTGTTCCCGGTTTATCCTACAAATCATGTACCGCCGCCATGTTTATCGTAAACACTCTGTTTGCAGTTGAAGATCATGCAGCGTCGGAGTTTGTTTTGTGTTTGTTTCCGCAAAGTATGTCCGCGGCATAAACATTGTTTTAATCTCTCGCTTGAGATTGTGATCACTGCCTGTGCTTTTCGATTATGATCGTATAACAGGAAATTGTCCCCCTTTGCAAGATTTGGCCGTCCACGAGCATGCGCAGTTAAAAGCCCGCGACTCAAATCTAATTTCTAAATATGCATTATTCTCTAATTTACCTACCTGTTTACAATTATCACGTCTGGTTGTCAATCTGGTTGGTGTCTATGTCATTTATCGAACATGTCAGGAACATCGAGATCGTATCGTCAAATTATTAGTAGGAACGTAATCTCTATACGTTATAATTTCGACAAAATGCAATTTCATTCATTTCGTATAAGCTAAATGTACAGTTATGTATGCCATGTAGTACGCATTGCAATCTATTGGCTAATTTAAATTTCATTAGTATTGTGTCAACCAGGGAACTCTATGATTATCAAAGGGAGCAATCAGAAGTTATTCCCCATGTCAAGTTACTGCGACGGAAGTTTGCTGTATATACATTTTAAAAGCATAGTTTCAGCAAAATATTTTTTATTCGGAAGATACTGGGTACCCCGCATACTCGCTAGATTACAGAGAACTTCGATGCGGCTAGTAATAGAATCGCATATAGATCTATCATATTAAATGACTGTCGGATATGCGCTCTTTATATTCAACGTATAATTATTTAACAAAGGAGGCGAACATAATAGCTCTATATTTCACGTTGGACACACCATCGATTGGCTCACTTAAACTTAAATCAAACATAACAAAAACCAGGAATTTCAAAACAGAAGCAACTCTCTTGTTCTGTGCATGCAGACGGTACTAAGTTGTTAACTTGCGGAAGAGAACTCCCATGCGAAATTTTGTATTTTATATATGTGCGATTTTTAATTAAATTTATACGTTACCGATAGTCAATAACCCCAAACCGCACAATTCAGATTCGAGGATACTGAACGTCTGTACAATATTTGCTTGCAAATTTGAGCTGCTGTGCACAGCTAGTAAAATTACCAATCTCTGAAATCTTGTTTCAGCGCAATTCTCGTAATTCCTAATCAGAGAAACATTGATCTAACAAAACCCATTAAGGAAATACATACACGTATTTAATTGTGTCTCCACTGTAATGGTGATAATACCGAGAATAATATGTGGACGCACCCCCTCTTTATCCGAATACACCTTATGTATGTTAAAATCAAGATTTATCTCACCAATGAACATTGCTTGAGTATGAACGAATAAAATTTAATATTAACTTTAAGGTAAATATTTCATCCGCCATAGACGAATATAACCAAGCTTCGACGTAAACAATTTATCTGCTATTTATGAATAAATCGACTCACGCACTGTATAACTGAGTGTTACTAGATGTAATGAATTGCTAGAGACCGCATCAAGTTAGAAAGAGTTCACGCAGCGGAGGTATTACTAATGACAGAGATTCAAACTTACACATAGATACTTACTCCGATTATCTACAGACGGAGAGAATGCAAACCGCTAAGCAAGTCACAAGAGAATTTTCTGCGGAGCCAAAGCACAGTGTCGTCTTGCATGTAATTGCAACTAGGTTTCGCCGAACGACCACAAACAGTGTATTATTAGGCGATAAGATTTTATTGCGTGGAGTGACAACTACCGGTTATTTACCCAGAGATGTATTGAGCGGAAATTATTTGTATTTAAATGGTAAAGGCAGTAGCAGCAATAAACACCGCTTATCGGGCATCAATAAGACAGTAAACTCAAGATAGAAGAGTAAATGTTGAAACAGTATATATGTCGATGCAGCGGAAAGTAATAAGGCTGAGGCCTTTGTTCAATAAATTCCTATGTCGTTTGCCGTGCAATGATTTGGGTTGGTTGCTAGCAGCCTACAGTGGACATACGTGGAGACTCAAGAGTGTAAATACTTGTTTGACCAAAGAACCCGTAGTCGGGATAACGGGCTACGACATATCAATGCGTATAGTCACGTGACGAACGTCACATCAGTGGTAGTGCCAGAGATTTGGGGGAGGGTGGCAAACGAGAGCGCATATGAAGCGAAGCGCAAACGAGCAGGAGAAGAGAGGGCATTGTTAGAATGTATAGAGTGCAGGGAATGGCATTTGAAACACATGTCAGTGTATTAGGAGCTTAGATATTTGATCACAACAAATCTTTTTTTCAAATGAACGGGTTCTTTCCATTACAACTAGCAGCGTAATGATACTTTTACGTTTATTATTTGCACATAATGTTTGATAAAATAAACCCAACACCAGCTACAGCACAGTAAAATTTCATACAACCTCGCGTTATTGTTTTTGTGCTTAGCGATGAATGTGCTATTTATGAATACATTACTAATCTAAGTCTACAGAACTATCAGATCGCAGCTAACTCTTTTTGAATTAGTAGATAATAACAGTGATAAAACATACCAAATTAACATATCTAGAACTCTGCATGGATAATATATATATATATATATATATATATATATATATATATATATATATATATGACATACCCTTCTCTTTTGAAGAAAACTACCGATTATATTCGTACAATGATCGTTGTATTACTACAATCCATAACGCAAACAGCAACTATATAGGGTTGCGGCCACCGCGATGGCTTATAATTAACTAGAACAGACAGTGTGTGGCGATAAGCACAACAGCGGCCATCAACCCAAACACATGCAAGTGGCGCTGCGCGCCGTTTACTACAGCGAACAGCCGCGTGGGGGCGCCAGTGCCATCACGGATCTTCATCGGGATAGCGTAGATTCTCGTGCCCGTCGGGGGCATAGCATCCAGGTTTGCGACGTTCTCGAGTGACGGGATCTCGTTTTCAGGGCCCAAAAAAATCTTGTGCACGGGAAACGTCGACGAAGCACCGTAGTCAATAGATACGCAGTCGACACCGTAGACGCTAATACTTCTGTTGTCGACTAACCACTGAGCCGCATCCCCAGACAGCCCCGGCCAGCGAAACTTTGACTTAAAGGGGTCGTTACTGTCTACCATACCAAGGTAATCTACCTCACTTGGCCAGCGTCGGTGCCAGCCCGTGTTCAGCAAAAGCACGGCTCCATCTGGGATGCGGCCATAGTCAGCTTCCCAGTCCTATTAAACACAGACATGCATGATCATATATCTAAAGTATTTATAGACGGTGAATTTTGTACTGTATACGCTCGGCTGTGGAGAAACATAGCGATGCAAAAAATAATGTGCAGTTAAACGCAAACGGAAAGCGAGCGGTTGGCTCTGTCTATAATGTGCCGTTAACGACGAGAATTGTGTAAAGAATATACAGTGTTTTTTTGACACAGAATGGAATGACGATGAGGTGACGCGGAACGATATACAAAACGCCATATATCCTCTCACCAAGATGTCCTCCACGGTGACCTCGTAGTCTGGGTTATCTTTGGTCTTGCTAGACACGTCGATGACGGCTCCGGGACCGATCATGGTCTTCAGCGATATCTGATGGACGGGCTTACCATCCTCGAAAAAATGCGTCGGCGCGTCCATGTGCGTTCCGGCGTGTTCGCTCGTACAGAACCGATTCTCCGCGTAATATATGCCACCTGGCGTCTTACCCTTGAAGCCGACGCTGATGTTAAACGCTAGATCCGTCGGCCATGCTAGCATGTCGTCGTTTAAATATGTGTGCGTTAGGTCGATGACATCCTCGTCTACCTCGCAGCTACCTCGGTCCAATATGGCGGCAGCGAAGACTAGCGTTGTTATCAATAGACGTCCGATAATTACGGCAGCCATCGTTTCCTTGCTGGTAACAAATATAAGAAACCAAAACGATTAAAACATTCTAAGCTTAGGTAATCTGTATATCCACCAACTGTCTAATTACATAAAATATTTGCACCTACATCTATAGTATTAGATATATATCTCTTATCCGCGGTCATTCATCTATGCATCTTTCCATCCATCTAACTATTTAATAATGCAATCAGGCACATATCTATCCATCCATCCATCCACCCATCTATCCATCCATCTTACCTCCCACCCACCCATCCACCCATCCATCAATTAATTAATCAATCCATCCATCCATCCATACATCCATCCATACATCCATCCATACATCTATTCATCCATCCATCCATGCCATGCTGCCATACCATCCATCCACTCCATGCATCATCCATCCAATCCATTCCATCTCATCCATCATATCCATCCATCCATTCCATGCCATCCATCCGTCCATGCCATCCATCCATCCATCAGTCCATCCATCCATCCATCCCATCCATCCATCCATCATCCATCTCATCATCCCATCATCCATGCCATTCTTCCATCCATTCATCCATCCATCCATCCATCCATCCATCCATCCATCCATCCATCCATCCATCCCATCCACACCATCCATCATCCCCATCCATCCTCCATCCATCCATCATCCATCCATCCATCCATCCATCCACATCCATTCCATATCATCATCCATCCATCCAATCCATTCCATCCATCCATCCATCCATCCATCCATCCATGCCTGAGCCATGCCATCCATCTGCATCCAATACCATCATCATCCATCCATCCATGCATCCACCATCCATCCATCCATCCATCCAATCCATCATCCTCCATCCATATCCATCCATCCATGCCAATCATCCATCCATCATCATCCATCCATCCATCCATCCATCCATCTCCATCCATCCATCCATCCCATCCATCCATCTCTCATATCCATCCATCCATCAATCCATCCATCATCACGCCATCNGTCCCCCTCCCACTCACGCGCACACCTCCTCCCCCTCCTACTCACGCGCACACCATTCCCCTCGCTACCCTGCCGACTCTCCCCCGCCTCTCTCGTTACGGACTCGAGGCTTTTCACTGCCCCGTGCTTTGATTAAAATCTACATCCAGTTTCAAAAGTCATCGCCGATTGATCGTAATTAATTTGTAATCGTCTTTTAGCCTCAAGGAAATGTCTCGTTAGCGGGTTAATCACCGAACGAGTCAAGGTTTTAATTGTCGCCGTATTTTGAAAGCGTGTAACGTGATTAATTCAACAGTGCGAGCGTTCTTGCACAGGGTTTTTTTTATTAATACGTTGCTGCCATGCATCCAGATTTAATTTATTCACTTCAATGAGTCGTCTAGCTGCTCTTCTTTTAAATGGTTTAAATGGACGAGTTCTATTTTGCATTTCTACTGACTTTTGTTATCGTATGAGCGTTGTGGCGTATCCAGTGTTATTCCGTCGTAGCATTAGGTTTAGTGGCTAATGTAACTGTCATGTTACGGCATGAATATATATATATATTTCCATATTCATATATTCATATATATGTATATACATACATATATACAGTGTAGCCCCGTTATAACGCGATGGTTGGGGTCCATAAAATGTCATCGCTAAATCGGGGTTATATATATACGTGGCTATATAAGAGCAAAAAAATGGCTATAAAAGAGGTCCAACGACTCATCGCATTATATCCGAATTCGCGTAAAATCGGAGCGCGTAAAATCGAGGTTCCACGTACTGTATGTTCATTATTATAATGTGTTTCATGTTTAAGCAATTGTGCGTGTGACACTGCTTTGCAATATCCGTTGATCTTTTTTTCCCCAGGGGCAGAGAAATTCCTGAAGGATATAGAGCGGATGATAGGCGTTCAGAGTAAACTGTGGCACTACACGTGGATATTCGTGTGGAAGTTTGCATGTCCGCTGACGATAGGGGTAAGACAGCGCTTATAACATATCATCAATAGCTAATAATGACAGATCAATCTATATTCAATATCTATCAATATTCAATTTAATTTCAATTCTATATAATCGATATCAATCTATATTAATCTAAATAATAGATCAATCTATTATTATTCACTCCTGATATCATCAAGAGCTAGGCCTAATAATAGTAATAGTCCTACATACATGTATTAAACTAGTATTATTAATATTATTAGTTCTTGATATTTTGATATCTTTCGTATTAGAATCTCAGATGGCTTAATTACTATATTCCTATAGCTAATTTGTCCACGTTAGCATGGCGTTCAGCAGACACTTTTTTAAACGAGATATATATATAATATATAATAATGTATATAAGTATATATAATAGTACGTAAATAGCTGTAAAACTGTTAACCTCTGTTGGGTAATTACCTTACAAAAGATATGCATGTATGATGTAGATGGCGCCATCTATTGGCCACGGTCGCTAATTCTAAACTTTGACTGAACACATAATCGGGAGTAAATAATCACAATTTGGTTTGATTTGTGATTATTTACTCCTGATATAACGCAAGAGCGTTCGCGAATGCAGAACTACATCCTATCCGCAGATGCGTCGGTACTGAGTGATGCCTGCATGTACTCGACGACAATCTCATCTCTTTTTCCAGTTCATCCTGGTGTTCAACTGGCTTCAGTATAAGCCGGCCTCGTATGGCGACTACGTCTACCCGGACTGGGCCAACGCCCTCGGCTGGATTATCGCCTTCGTCCCGATCTCGGCGACGCCGATACTAGCCATCTACAAGCTCTACAAGATTCGACATTCGAGCCAGCCGATATTTCAGGTAGGTCGCAGGCAGTCGATGCACACCTGTGAGAGAGAAACGCACGGACACCCGATAAATATACGTATAGATTATGGATATGGTTATGTCATAGTCTGAGAGAAAATGTGGAAGTGATCTGCAGACTACGTGGATTACACACACACACGCACACGCACATGCAGACGCACACGCATACGCACACACACACGCACGCGCACGCGCACGCACACGCACACGCACACACACACATGCACACACGCATATATATAAGTTCGACCCCACCACCCACTCACCTACTAAACATTTGCCCTCTGTCTTCCAAAATGTGGAAGTGATCTGCAGACTACGTGGAGTACATTATATATATATATATCAGCTTGACCCCCACCACAGTGCGTGCGTGCGTGCGCGTGTGCGTGTGTGGTGAACGTGTTCGTCTGTGTGTTGCGAGGCTCTTCATTGTAGCCAGGTAACAGATACAGGTGAGTAGATACACAGGTACGTCTACGTTTGCCTTCAGGTGTGGGGAGATGCGGCTGTACAGATATTCTTCGCCCTGAGTCCCGCCTGGGGAGGCCTTATAACTCTGGCAAGCTACAACAAGTTTCACAACAACTGTTACAAGTAGGTGTAACCCATATCGTGTAACCGTAGAAATAATACTAGACTAGTACTAGTGTCTGTATATATTTCAATGGCTCTACCCATAGAAATAATATACTAGTTAGACTAGTACTATAGTGTCTATATATATATTTCTACAAGGGCGTAGCCAGGAATTTGGATTGGGGGGGTCCTCGAGCGAGTAACAAGGTCTGGTGGTCTGAAATTTTTTTTTTTTAGTTAAATGTAAAAATAGTGCTTTAAAATCAATTTAGACGCTGTTTTGTTGACAATACTATTTCTTCTATACTATACACCTTTTAAGAGAAAAAGAAAATAGAGAAAAAAATGTTTTTTTATGATTTTGATTTTGATTGGGGGGGGGTCCTAGGGCCCCCAGGACCCCCCTGGCTACGCGTTTGTATTTCTATGGGTGTAACCGACGTCATTATTGTTCGAATGTAATTATTTGGTTGGATACGACGATGGCCCCTCTTCCTGCTTCTCATCTTAGGTGTTATCAGCGTAGAATGTCTCAGGGGCGACATTCATGATTCATGATGATGACATTTTTGTAAGACTTGGATGACATCTTGTCCTTCTGTCGCACATTACGTGACATTTGTCATCGTCTCTATTCAGCTACTTTTCTAAATGTCGTTTGTACATTTTTAGACAAAATTTTCCATTGAATTTCCTCGTCTTTTTCTCTCTTTCTCCCTCTCACTCTCTCGCTCATTCCCTCTCTCTCTCTCTCCTTCTCTTCCTCTCCCTCCCTCCCCTCCCTCCCTCTCTCCCTCTCGCATTCATTAATTGCTGGTGTCTTTCAGGGATGCTCTCATCGTGTCGCTCAGCAACGTGTTGACCAGCATCTTCGCTGGATTCGTCATCTTCTCCGTCATCGGCTTCCTCGCTCACGAACTCGACAAACCCGTCGAGCACGTCATCGCACAAGGTGAGGGGCTGACGCGTGGGTGGAGACGGGGGAGGGGTGAGGGAGGAGAGGGTGAGGAAGGGAGGGGGGGCAGGTAAGGAGGTAAAAAAGGTGTAAGGAGGAGGAGGGGAGGGACACGGGGGAGGGGTGAGGGAGGTAGGGAGGGAAAGAAGGACGCGAGATAGGGGGAGGGGCGCGGGATAGGGGGAGAGGGACACTGGTGATGGGAGAGGACACGGGGGAGGGGTAAAGGTACGCGGAGCAGGGGAGGAGCTGAATCTTCTCCCGGGCACGACGACACTACGTAACGCCCACCGCCTGCGCAGGATGTAGGTACGCGCGGTAATAAATGCTTTCACTCCATTCGCTTATACTTTCCGTCTAATGGTGTGTGCGGAGTGGATCTAGGGCAAGGGCGTCGGAACTGCCGCGGCAGCCGCGGCGACCGCCGCGACACTTTTTTTAGGCCATAAATTTTCCGTAACC